GGTATGACTCAGAGTGTCATTCCGTGCACAGGAAGGTTGCACAGAATGTTTCAATTTCTGGACAGGGCACATACCTTGGCTAGTGGTTCAATTCCTGTTAGGGGCACATGCAGGAAGGAGGCAGTCGATCAATGTTTCTTCTCTCTCTCTCTCTCTCTCTCTCTCTCTCTCCCCCCACCCCCGCCCCCCTTGACCTCTCTCTGAAATCAGTAAAACATATCCTTGATGAGGATTGAAAAAAAAGAAGAATGCCAGTTAGAGTTCTCTACTTCTGGAAAATCTGGTCCTGTCCTTTTCTCCCGCAATTTGTGAAGGAGATAGTTTTGAACTAGGAAGTGGGAATTTAAATTTAAAGCCTGAATTTAAGAATTTCCATCCTGAAATTAAGGACATTGAAGGAGGCATTTCGCTACCCACGTAGAATTAGAGTCATCATTCATATGTGAAAAATGACCATATGAATGCAATTGTGTATGCATTTAGTTTATGGAGATAGTGCTAATCTCTCTTCTTCAGAGAGTGGTTCTTCAATTACAAAGAGAAAACCCAGTGGAAAAAAACTAAGTATCTCTTACCCATTGCCACTTTACCCATATGTTCCTATTATAACCGTTTAGGTCAGCACTTTCTAGGTGAGTACAAAATGATAGTCAATCTCCAAAATGAAAAAAAAAAAATGCTAACAAACAACAAGTGTTGGTGAGGATGTGGAGAAAGAGGAACACTCATGCACTGTTGGGAATGCGGATTGGTGCAGCCACTGTGGAAAGCAGTATGGAGTTACCTCAAAAATTAAAAATGGAACTGCCTTATGACCCAGCAAATATACCTGAAGAAACCCAAAACACTAATTTGAAGGAATATATTGACCCCTATGTTTATTGCAGCGTTATTTACAATAGCCAAGATTTGAAAGCAGCCCAAGTGTCCATCAGTACATGAGTGGATACAAAAGCTGGCACATTTACACAATGGAATACTACTTGGCAATAAAAGAGAAGGAAATTTTACCCTTTGCAACTGCATAGATGGACCTGGAGAGTATTATGCTAAGTAAAATAAGCCAATCGGAGAAAGACAAGTAACATATGATTTCACTTATATGTGGAATCTAATAAACAGAATAAACTAACAAAATAGAAACAGACTCAGGCATAGATAACAGACTAACAGCTGTCAGAAGGAGGTCGGGGAGCTGGGTGAAAAAGGTGAGGGGAGTAAGCAAAAAATAGCACCTCATAGACACAGACAATAGTATTGTGATTACTAGAGAGAAAGTGTGGTGGGGGAGAGGTAGAAGAGTGAAAAGGGGGGTAAATGGTAATGGAAGGAGACTTGGGATGGTGAACACACAATACAATATACAGATGATGCATTATAGAATTGTGCACCTGAAACCTATATAATTTTATTAACCAGTGTCACCCCAATAAATTCAGTAAACAAAAAAAAGAGAAAACATGACCGAGAATCATTTCAGCCAAGATTCAGTTTAAAATGTAGTTTCATAAAAAGAACTTATTTTGAACTAGCTTTTGCTTACTTAAAAAGTAAATGCATATCTTAAAATTAATTGTGAAATACAGAGAAGTATAAAGAAGAAAATAAAATCCCCTGGCAAGTTCCATTGAGATAAGACACAAACAAACAAACAAATACCTGCCATTCTACATGGTTGTGTCATGGAGAATTTGCAATTTCTTTGGCTGATTCTTTAAAGCACTTCCACCCCAAAGCCCTGCTATTTAGAGGTTCTTGAATAAATATAAGTTGGTTGACATCAGCTTCACTCTTCTGGTTGGAGAATGAAGCCAATGAGGGTAAGA